GACAGTGTGACCATGGGTAAGGGCTGGGACCTCAGACAGTGTGACCGTGGGTAAGGGCCGGGATCCCGGGCGGTGTGACCATGGGGAAGGGCTGGGACCCCCTGCTCTGCCCCCGGCTTCGCCTCCGCGCCCTCACGGTGTCGGTGTTCCCTCCTCCACCAGCCCTGGATCAGGATTTGGCCGGGAACACTGGAACGGAAAGACGTTTACCAGCCAGTTTATGGGCAATAATATGGTGGAAGCAAACTTTTTTTTTTTGCTTGATATGTTCAGGCGTTGTGTCTAATAAACTGCGTTTGCTGAAAAGTACTGCAGTGCTTTTACTGACAAAAGGAAAGTAAATAGGGTTGTTTTTTTTCTTTCCCATCGTGCTCTGTAGCCAAGGAGAAACCGTGTATTTGTCTTGCATTGCCTTTAGAAGAGGAAGTGAACAGTGAAGAGAAGAGCAGGGAACTCGGGGGACTGCTCCAGATGGAGAGCTACATGGTTGAAGCTCCTCCGGGTTTTTTTGATGCAGCTCTTTACCAGAGTTTGCAGCTATATCAGTGCAGGGACAAGGTGCATAATTCAGTGAACAGGATGCTGCTACTTTGCAGTGTCTTAATGCAATTCAAAATCCTTAATTAAATTTCAAAATCAGTTTACAAAAAAAGAATAATTCACAAACTCAGTCCATTTTTCTGCTACCTAGAAATCACTGCGAGCCCCAGGCAGGCAGAGGAGGAAAGTGCCAGGACCAGTGGTCTGCAGGGGAGAGCAGAGACATCGGGGTTGCTCTGTGCTCTGTGAGGCGGATTTGCAGGGACCCGGGGGCTGAGTTTGAGTGCAGGGCCCAGGCAGGTCTGGGGAGATGCTGCAGAGACACCTCTGCTCCCCTCTGGTACCTCCTGCTGTCCATTGTCTCCTCGGGAAGGGCTGTTACACCCGCACCGATCACCCGGCAGGGTGTGGTGCCTCACCTGCTGGCAGGGGGGGCTCTGGGAGTGCAGGTGAGGGGGACCCACCTGCCACAGGGGGAGGAAGCCCAGGGAGCTGGATGAGACAATGATGCCGAGTCTCATTGCAGCAGCTGGGGTAGGATGTCCCTGGGAAATGGGAAGCAGATCTTCATTGTCCCTTGTAGCTACTCTGAGTGTCGAAATCATGCTCGGTGTGAATTCTCGGGTCACTGAGGGTTTTGTTTTGGTTTTTTTACTTCTCTTTTACAGCTACACTGGGAGCTGTGTTTGGCTTAGGTACCTGCCTCAGTGCCCAAGTCCGGGAGGAGCCACATAGTCCTTTGGACTATTTTGTTGGTGGCTGTGCATCAGGAGCTGTCGTGGGAGCAAGAGGTAACTGTGCACAACACCTGCAATGAAATGAGCCCTGGCTGGTTTTAGAAACTTTTGTCTTGGGGAAAAATGTTAAATAATGTTGGTGTCAGGCTTCTTTGGTGAAGATTCATCTCAGCCTCTGATTCATGCACTCCATTGTACAGGTCTGCTAAAATAAACAGGGCTACAGGAGGGAGGACGTGGAAGGGAACGTAAAGTGATGCACAGAATGAAAGCAGGACTGACCTAATACTGCCAGTTAGAACTACCAGTTATACCTGAAAATTGCAGGATATGAAAAATGTAGTTGTGGAAATACGTGTTCTCTTGGCAACAAGTGTGATTTATTTTATGCACAAAGTACAATCTAATGTCTGCCTTGTGAATTCTTCACATGGTCTGAGGGACAAGCTGTGTCCTGCTGCTGTTGCTCCTGTGGCCCTTTGTCAGGCTTGAGCAGCTCCTGCAGATGCTAACACAGCTCTGTTTTCTGTAGGCATTCAGACTTGAACCTAAAGAAGTGAGGGATTTACTTAGGTTGTAATCATGGTGAAATAGAATTTATCTTTACTTTTCCTAGTTGATGAGCCTGATGAAAGTTCAAAGCAGTGATTGTTACTTTTGTCACTCAAATGAGCCATTTAAGATTGCCCATGTAAAGGGATGGGGCAGTGGGTTGTCAAAATTGGTATTTCGAATTGCAAGCTAAAAGCGTGAGAAAACTCAATTTTATAAAAAGGTTACTTTTCCAATCTCTCTGGGCAGACAGTGTTGCTGATGGTCAAGGGACCTACGAAAAATGGCAGAGTCTGTTGAGATCTGTTGCACAGGACTTGTGCCCTAACTGGTCTTTTTTGGTTTGATGTGTTTTCTCCAGCTCGCAGTTACTTCGCTGGCACCACGGCTTGTCTGGGGCTGGGATTCACTGCAGCCCTCCTGAAGATTGCAAACATTGAGGGCTGGAGGCTGGCGGGACCTCCCAAGCTGTAAATGTCACCTTTCCTCCCTGTGTGTGAGCTGCCTTCCTAATGCTCTGTGTACTTAGGACGTTGTGTAATAAAGGTTTGGTCAAACCAGCAGTTGTCACAATATTGTGGTGTCGTGTGGCTGCTCCTGGTGTTTGGGCTGAGGTGCAGAAAGCTGGAGGGGAAGTGGGATCTGCTGCTCCTGCAGCGATTTCTGTGTTTTGCCATTTCTGTGTTTTGCCTCCCTCTCTCAGCATTGTGTGCACAGGTGTGAGGGCTGCACTGGAGCTTCAGGGTGATCCTTGTAGTCTCCAGTGGGTCCTGCAGGACTTTGTGACAGGGATTGGGATTGCACCACACTGAGCCCATCTGTGAGGGTCTGGAGCCAAAGCTTCTGCAGTGGTGCTTGGCTCTGGGCTGAGATGGGGAAGGTGGGGTGAGGAAGGAGGTGTGGGTTGCCCACAACAAGGTGTCTGTGAGCCTGGGGGCTTTGTCCAAAAAGCATTTCAGGAAGTGCGGAGCCAACAGCTTCAGGGTTGGAATTGAGGAATATCTGAAGCTGAAAGGGACCCTTGGGTGCCATCTGAGAACTGGAGCGGGTTGCTTATAGCTGTGTCTGGTTCAATTTTCTGTGAACAAACTGAACCATGTCAAGCAAACCCAGCAAGAGCATGAAGGCACAGGATGCACAAGGAGAGGTGAGAACAGGATCATTCCACCTGGAGAAAAGGTTAAGGGCTGATCTAATGGCTGCAGAAAGGGCAGGCTCAGGTGTGCAGCAAAGTTGTGGGAAGTAACAAGCACAAGTTGAAGGTAAGGAAATTCTAACTAGATAGAAGGAAAAAAACCTGGCAGGCAGGGTAGGTAAATGCTGAAAAATGGACTTGGAGAGGCTGTGAAAACATCTTTGGGACTACAACTCAACTGGACACGTGGGAATACTGGGGTACAGAGATGGGACATTAGGGGATGGGTGTGTGAGTTATGGAGACAGAGAATGTGGGTATGGGGGACACAGGTGTGGGACAGGGATGTGGGGGTGTGAGGGGAGGGAACAGGAGACAAGGAGATTGGGGCACCAGAGAACAAAGAGGAAGGGACAGTGATAAGGGGGGACACAGTCACAGCCACAGCAGGCTGTGTTGCTCCGGTGTGTGCTCTCTGTGGGCAGGTGGGGTCCTGGGCAGGGTGCAGGGTCATCCTGGGGGCATTTGGCTGGGCCAAAGGTCTGGTATCCCCATGTGCCCTTGGGGCTGGTACCCCCAGCCCTTTGTGTGTGGGTCAGTGGGGCTGGGCTGCAGCTCAGAAGCACAGTGGGTGGTGGCAGAGGTTTCACCCCTCACCATGGGGATGGGGGAGCAGGAGGGTTGTCTGTCTCCCACCCAAGGACTTCTGAGGAGGCCTCACTTCACCCTGGGCTCTGGAGGTGAACAAGACTTATAGAGGGATCTGATGGGCCAGAGACCTCCAGCAGGACCTGCCCAGGGTAACTCCGGGTTTACAGAAGCTCCTGGCAACTTCAGCTGGCCCTGCTGCTTGTCCTCAGGGAACCTGCTGACCCCACTGCCCCAGCCCAGGATTCGGGGCCTTGGACCTCCCTCTGCCTGAGCCTCTCCCAGCTCCTGCCTGGGGCCACGTGTCCCACCCGGGCTATAATTAACTGGGCACATTCCTGGGGGGTCACAGGAGTTTCCCGGCGCGGCGGCAGGCGGTAAGGGGGGACGGGTGCAGGGCACAGCATGCCATGCCGTGCCACGCCACGCAGCAGCGCAGGACACGGCACACGGTCCTGCCGGGCTGCGGAGCGAGGACACGCGACACCGACACCGCGCAGGCAGCGAGCGACACGGGGGTGTGGGGGCCACAGCGGGCGGTGCAGCACCGTGTGTGACGCAGTGTGTGCCACGGGAGCCAGCACACCCCGGCAACCCGTGGGGCGGGGGAGTAGGGCACACAAAAACCTGTCACAGACAACCCTCAGGGCGATGTGTCCTGATCTGCGATGATGGGCAGTGTGACATGAGGGGCAGTGTGACATGAGGGGCAGTGTGACATGAGGGGCAGTGTGACACACGACAGGCAGGTGCTGCCGTGCACCACCCAGGTGTGACAGGCCCTTTCCTGGGAGCTGTGCCAGGGACCAGTGGTTTTGTTGTTCTTGGAGCATCAGCAGTGTCAACTATGGGGCAACGGCAGAGGAAGGGCTTGGTCGCATCTGCTCTAGGACTGCAGGTCTGACTGGGGACAGAGGTTTGGGCTGTGGGGCAGCAACGTTGGCTGTGGGGCAGTAGCTTCATGCTAAAGGTTCAGTGATGGGGCAGATGAGGGGATCAGGCTCAGCTGTGGGGCACTGAAATGGACTGTTGGTCTCAACTATGGGGCTGCAGTTTTGCCAAGGAGCATCAGATTCAGTGATGGGGCAGTAGCAGAGCCTGGTGGCCCTGGCTGTGGGGTAGAGGCTTTGGTGGTGGATCCAGTGGCTTTTGCTATGGGGCAGTGCCAGTGGCAGGACCCCACATCTCCAGCCAGGACTCCTGCCATGGGCAAGAGGCTCCAGTTATGGGGACAGCACCCTGACCTCTTCCTCCATGTGTTTCCACAGGCAAGATGTGGGTTGCAGAGGGATCAGCCCCAACCCAGTGGAGCCTGCGGGATGGGGCCCATGCTGGACAGTTCCTGGCTATGGCTGACAACCTCCGCACCGTGGGACAGCTGGTGGATGTGGCCGTGGGACCAGAGGGTGACAAGGCTCATGCTGTGGTCCTGGCCTCCATCAGCTCCTTCTTCCTCCGCTTCCTGGAGGGCAGGACCAGAGGGCTTTGCCAGGACTCCCCACCCCATGTCCCTCTGCCACCTGGGGCCACGCTGCAGGGCTGGCGGGCTGTGCTCGCCTTTGCCTATCGGGGAACTGTGCCCCGTGGCCAGGAGAAGGAGGTGGAGGAGGCTGCCCGGGCTCTGGGGGCCCCCCGGCTGGTGGCCGCCTGTGCCCAGCGACTGGAGATTGACCCTAAGGAGGAAGAACCTGAGGCCCTGGAGGAGCAGTGGGAGACACTAAGAGCCATGGAGCAGCTCCATGCCAAGGGCCTGGGCTGTGACCTCCAGCTCCAGGCAGGGGATGAGGTCATTCCAGGTGAGCTGGGGGTGAGGAGGGGGACAGGGCACTCTGGGATAGCCAAGTTCCCTCGTGGGGATGAGGCTCTAGAGGTGCCTGCAGGGCTGCTCCCCTTGGCAGAGTTGGGAGTTTGGTGGGCACAGGGACAGGACACCTGAGTTTTGGGGGCTGCACAGCGCAGAGGGTCCCCCTCTGCCCTCCACCATTCTTCCTCCTTCCCCATAGTTCAGCGCCTGGCCCTGAGCTGCTCCTGTGACTTCTTCCGAGCCCTCTTCACCTGCCCAATGCGGGAGGCCACCCATGACCCTGCTGCCCCACTGGTCACAGGGCTGTCCCCGGCCGAGCTGCGCCTCCTCCTCTCCTTTGCCTACACAGGAGCTGTAGCAGGGCCATGGCCCGTGGTCCTGGAGGCAGCTGAGACCTCCCTGCGCTACCAGGCCTGGGGGCTCCTCACTCTCTGCCTGGATGTTTTCACCCATGGCCTGACTCCAGAAACTGTCCCGGACGTCCTGGCCTTTGCTGTGGCTTATGGACTGGACGAGGTGGGCCAAGCAGCAGAGAACTACATCTTGGCCACCTTCCCCAGTGTGGTGGCTACACCGGCCTTCCTGGATCTGCCTGCACACCTTCTCATTCGCCTCCTCCGCTCTGATGGTCTCAACGTCCTCCATGAACTGGAAGCCTTGGAAGCGGCCTCCCGGTGGCTTTTGGCCAATGGAGATGGCCAGGAGGATCTAGCCAAGGAGGTCCTGTCGTCTGTCCGCTTTGCCCTCATGTCTGGCCTGGAGCTGAAGAAGATCCCGTCAGTGACTGCAGGGGTGGCTGACCCCAAGGTCCTCCGCGAGCTCGTGGTATCAAGTTTCGCCCCCACGGCTCAGCTGCCGTGCCGGGTACGTTCCTTGCAAGAGGTGCTGGTGGTTTGTGGTGGAGACAAAGTGACGGGCAACCTGGCTGCCCGGAAGCCCAGCAGACACCTCTGGTTTGCAGATCGCTACCTCAGCGCCGTGGGGCTGGTGAAGCAGGTTGAGTGGCGGGCACTGGGGCACCTTCCTGATGGCCCACGATTCCGCCATGCTGTAACTGTGGTGGGCAACAATCTCTACGTCCTGGGTGGAAAGCACTACTACGGGGTCCATGACACCCTGACCAGTGTCTACAGGTGAGAGCTATAGAGGACTTGGAGCTGCCGTGTGGCACCAGGACATCGCGGGATCAGAGGAGGTGTTGGTGGAGCTAGAGTGGCCCTGTGGACCCAAGATATTGAGGCATTGCAGCTGGTCAAGTGGGCCCAAGGTGTTCTGGGATGGGTTGGGTGAGAGGTGCCCTCCTACTCTTGGGTGTTATATGCTTTTTGGGGGTGGGGCTGGGAGGCTCCCATGTGGAGATGCCTCAGGTCGTTACGGGTTTGATATTGCCCAGAAGGAGGGGATATTCCCACGCAAGGCTACCATGTGACCCCAAGGCATTCTGGGACTGACAGGTTGTAGGTGGGTTGTTGCCCTAAATGGTGCCAACATGAGCTTTTGGTGTGGTGGGTAACAGGTAGTCTCTTGCCTCTTTGCCTCTCAAACCCAGGTACCAGCCTATGGATGATTCCTGGGAGCGTCTGGCCAGCATGACGTGTGGACGGAGCTGCTTTGCTGCCGTGGCACTTGGGAATTTCATCTATGCCCTGGGGGGCAGCTCAGGAGAGCTCTACTGCACAGACACTGTGGAGAGCTATGACCTGGCCAATGACACCTGGAGGTGAGGCCGCTCCAGCAGATTCCTGCTTCCCTCTGCCTCGGACCCTCTTACCTTGGCTGTGGTACCCACTGAGAGCTTTGGGTCACTGAGCCTCCAGTGGAGGACAGGCCTCCAGTGGCCTTTGGGAGGGGTCTATGGGGTGCTGAGCAACTGTATCCCTTGGGGACTGGGTATTAGCTGGTGTTGCCTAGTGGGTGGCAAATGAGGTTTTGGCCAGTGGTGTTTACTGGAGGTCTGTTGGCCATCTGCCAATGAGACAGGTAGTT